AGAATCACACAAAACATCAAATTCAATAGTTCAAAATATCATAAATGAGACATTCTTCATTGATGCTCCAAACCATATAATAGCGGATTGAAAACATAGACATTCCACGACAACAAAAATAACGAAAATATGAAGGCTGATGTTAGCTTATTATTATTGTCGTCACAAAGTAAACATCCACCAAACTAGTCATTTGTCTTCATAATCCAAAGCCTTCAAGGAAGACACTATAGTTTCCAACAATACAAATAGCATTTTGGAGTAGAATTGATAAACCTCAAAGACATCAATTTATTGCCTGAAAGAACAAACAAAAACTTATAAAATTTTAATTGGGTTATACAAGTACTATGTGTAAGTAGAAGTGAAAGATATATATGTATCTTTGCCATTTATTGTCTCAGCTTCTTTCACCCTTAAGCCTATTCTGCAAACAAGTAGCCTTCACTAAATGAAGATGCGGATTTTGTCTTTCATTTCTTCCACAAACCGAAAGTAGGCATGCATTTCCAAGACCTCTTGATCACCAAAGCTCCATAGACAGCCCAAAATCCCACTACAAATCTAGATGCCACTCATATGTAGAACCAAATCTTCTTGTCATCTCTGCCCTTGTCAGTATTGTCATCTAGAGCATCACTAATTTGTATTAAAAAATTGATCTACAATGGAGCCCTACAAAGTTTTGGGTTTCCTTAAAAAATAGATGGATTATTGAAGGTTTGGAACTGGTTTGTTGATGGAATTAGTCCTAAAAGATCATTATGAGACAAGTCAAATGGCTCAAGAATGTCATAGATGACATGCTTGGTAGAATCGAGCTTGAAAGATGGTTGTCTAAGAAATCAAGAGTTTCTATCAGCCTCAAAGCTCCAATCTTCTTTGGAATTTCTCCTGTTAAATTGTTTTAAGATAATCTTAAAGAAACCGAGTTGTAAAGTTGTGTTATCACCACCAGGAGCTCTCCTTCAAGATTATTCCTTGACAAGTCTATCAAGGTCACTAAAGCAAGTGGTCTATCAAAAATTTTAAGCCTCTGTCCCTTAATGATAAGGTCCATACTCAAGTAGTGAATGTAATTAAATCCCACATTATAAGAACCATTCACTAGGCTGCTTAAATTTCCTAAACATAGCGGAATCGAACCTGATAAACTATTCTGCTTTAGATCTAAAACATGGAGACTAGAAAGCAACACAAATTTTTTGGTATCTTTCCTCTAAACATGTTTCCTCCCAGCCCTGGTGATGCACTAAAATCACTTTAGCAAGTATATTAGTCGCTCCAAGTAATGTAATGATGAAAAGAGTGTCAAACCCACGAGGATTATGATTAACTAAGTACGAAAATAATTAATCTAAATTTATTTGAATAATTGAAAAGGAAGAAACTTTAATAAAAAGAAAATAACAATTAAAATAAACTAATCAAAATATGAGATACTAAGGCAACAACTTCACCATAATCAATCAATATAAATTCTAAATTAATATACTTTCAAAACAATTTTATTGAGTATTATTGCATGTGATGATGGATTTCCCTAAATTAACTAACTAGCTTTTCTCAAGTTAAGTTAATCTTTTACTCGTTTGTTAAATTAATCATAACTTTATGTACTTTTAAACAAACTGGAAAGCATTAAATGCTATAGAAATCTCTAGCTTAAGAACGGGGAGCTTTTAACTCTCTTTTCTTCTTCCACTACCACATGTGAGTTAATTATCTCTCGATCTCATAGTCTAACACACAGTTTATATTATTATTGGTCTAATTTACGAAATTCTTTCTCAAGTTCATGCATAAATCACTAAATCAATTGACAGGTGATTAGGCTTTCAATGCATTAAGTTCAATAATATAAACTCATCATGCAAATAACTTTAATTTAAAGTATAAAAATCACAAAATCTATATTAAATTGATTAGGTTACATCATAGTCTTAATAGAATAAATCAGTTTATAATGAAAATAATAAAATCTGGAATCATAATTATGAATATAAGAATATCTAAGGAAAAAAAAAAAAACCTAAGTTGAGGTAATTGAATCCTTGATTTTCTATTGTTGATAAATCCTTAATCTTGATCTCTAATAATGCCCTAAAAAGGCTACCACCAACCTCCCAATGCTCTCTCCAAAAGCTCCCTTAATTCTGAATTTGGATGAGTATTTATAGAGTTTAAGAAACCATATTAGAAAAAAAGTAGGACTTGGAACAAAATAGGAAACTTCAATTTTGGACGCTGAACGCAGAGTATCGATACTATGAATTATGTGTCGACACTACACCCGTGTTAAGTTCGTAGCCTCTTTTTGCAATTTCTTTAATGGTAAAATTGCAGATCTAGTCCTTCATATTTTGTATGATAAGCACTTAGATCCTGAAACTTAAGATTCACTCATTTAAGTCCCAAAGAGGCACCTTTCATCTTGCAATTCAATCCTCAACTTTCAAAAGATGTTCAATTAATTTAAAAAACTTCTATTATTATGCATTCCAGTCTTTCTCCGCAAAAAGAATGAAAACCATGTAAAATATCATAAAATTCATCGAAATATTAATAATATCAAGGCAGAAATTCCACATTAATATATATATATATAAATTCAACTCATCACCTGGTAATGTAACCACAGTAGACTTTCTCCAATCCATCTTGGAACACCTCCATGGAATTGATTATTTGCAAGATTAAGTTCCAACAATTTTTTGTAGTTATGTAGGGATGAAAGCTTTCCATAAATATGGTTGTCATTCAAGTTTAAATATAAAAGCTGAGGCTGTAGGGAGCAAAATGAGCTTGGAATGTTCCCACTGAAGTTGTTCTTGGAAAGATCTAATATCTCTAAATACTTCAATGTGTTTATGGAAGAAGGAATGTTGCCATTGAAGTTGTTCTTAGAAAGATCCATATAACACAAATACAACATATCTTGGCCAAAGTTTTCTAGAATGGGTCTAGAGAGTGAGTTTTGCTTCAAACAAAGATAGGTAACACAACACAAATGCAGAATCGGTCCCTCAAATATATTAAAGCTTAATGCTACCTTTAAGCTTGGTGCAACTTTTAATGATTTTGGAAGCTTTCCATGTAATCCGATCTTGTAAAGAACTAAAAGTTCAATCTGTGGACTTAGTTTCCAGAACCATTCAAGTACAAAATCTTGGATGATGATATTCCCAAGGACAATGTAAACCAATTCCTTTTGAGTTTGGAACCATGTAGGAATTTGAGATCCATTTAGCAATTAATGATTACAATGGAATTTAGATTGAAGGGAAGAACACAGTCATGTCCCACATGGAAGGTCAATGACTTTTCTCCAATATTAGAAGATAAAGAAAAATCTTAATCGTAGATACTACACCTTCCCAATTAATACTAGTATCAAGATATTAAAGAGATAACTCTCTCAGCACTCTAACAGTTTCAGGAATTGCTCCTTTCAATTTGTTGGAAGAAAGGTATAACCTCCAAGGATGATAGGTTTCAAAATAGAAACTGGTAAAAGACTAGAGAAATAATTCCAAGAAAGAGAGAGATACCTCATGTTGCTAAGATTTTTCAAGGATGGAGGTATTTGCCCATCAAACCCATCAGTACTCAAATTCAACACTTCCAAACTATTTTTGCTACATTTTGACAACCTCTCTACTAGTCTGACTATTTCTCCAGTCATTTCATTGTTAGACAAAGCAAAGACTTTCAAGTTGTAGAGATTTTCCCAAGCATCAACATTGTCTAGAGTGTCCTTAATTCCACTATATGACAAATCAAGCTCAACAAAGGTACTAATATTGAATAGCCAACTAGGCAATGGTGAATTGAAATTATTACCTCAAAGATTGATGACCTTAGTTGAACTCAAGTTCGCGACTCGAAGAGAAGGAAGGTGGTCATTGAGATTCTAGTAAGGAATATGCAACTACACAAAGAGAAGGAGCATATTTACAGCTTGCAACCAATTGGGTATTGCTAAATCGAGATTTGCACCAATTAGAAAAAGGTTTTTTAATGATGAGAGTCCAGAGATCCAATTCAAATTGGAAACCCAAAGAAAATTGCTCCACAAGAGATCAATGTAGCACAAATTTGACAAATTCCCAAGGTGAAGAGGAATCAATCCAGCAAAGGATGCATTAGAGAGAATAAGGTAGCTTAACTTAGCAAATGAACCAATGCAGTTTGGAATTGGAGTGTGTTCAAAATTGTTCAAGCTTAGATCCAAGAAGTTTAAATATTTCAAGTCAAGCAATGAAGGATCTAGCGTACCTTGCAAGGATGCCAAATCACCATTAGGTTGGTTCCTAAGATTAAGCATTGTGACATGTCCGGTTTGCTTGCTGTAATTTACACCTTGCCATGCACAACAATCATTGCTAACCAAAGAAGAAAGTAAGCCAGAAGGATCTTTAAGACTTGCTTTAAATTTGTAACGTGCATTCCTCTCTTACCTCCTAACAAGTTGTGGTGAAGTTGGTTGAATAAGGATCGGATTGACTTGCTTGGAGGAATAGAATTTCATGAGAAAAAAAGGGAACCAGAAAGAGAAGAATGTGAGTGAAAATGGAAGTGATCATGGCTAGTGTTTCTCCCCACTAAAATAGTGTGTTTCAAGATAGAAACGAAATTGTTAAAGAACTTAATGGAAGGGTATTGCCTTATGAAAGGAAAGAATATGATGTCATTATGAAGATTGATCAACTAAAAAGAAATTAATTTATTAATTAATTGATTTTAAGGATTTGACATTAACAGGAGATTTTCAATTAACTTTTTTTTATATTATATATTCTTTCCCTTATATATAAGGTTGTTCATATGTAAAAAAAGAATGATGAAAAATAAACGTGCAAGCCTACATAAGCTTTTGTACCCTAGATTAGAAGGGCCTTGATGCGTGATCCACTTCGTGTCTTCCTCTCTCTCTTTCTCACTTATCTTTTATTTTGTTTATGTTATTACTAGGTTAAACCCCCCCATTTTGGTCCCTAAGTTATTGTATGGACCCCCAATTTGGTCCCTAAACTCAAAAAAACTTTGATTTGGTCCTTACTGTTTACTAATTTAGTCCCAACTTGGTCTTTCCGTTAGAAATCCTGTGACATGTCCTATTAATTTACTACAACATGATGACATGTCAAAATGTTAAATATAAGTGAAAAGATAACATGGTTGACATGGATAAAAGTAATGATATGGCATAAAAAATTGATATGACAAAAAAACTTAAATTTTTCTTTCCTTCTCTCTCTTTCTCTTTCCTCTTAGGGTTTGTTGGGTTCAAAAGAACCAAACAGACTTGGAACCCAACAGCTATTGGGTTCAAATGCCTGGGTTCCAGCGGCCATTGGGTTCCATGGAACATAGCATGTCATAGGACGAGACTCTAGCTAGTCACCGTGCAACACTTAGCTCGAAAATAACCTCTCAACCCGAACCAAGTCAGCCTTTCCCAACACTTGGTGTGGCCCACCCACTGGACTTTGAGGTTAGCAACACGTAAAGGATGAAGGTAAGAGCTTGGGACAATAAGAGAATTTATTAGATCGCAAGGAAGTGTTACAAGAGCTTGAGTACATAGCCTTTCGAGGCACTCACTCCCCTAACAACTTTCTAACCATCCTTCTTTTTGGCCTCCCTCTTGGACTTTTTTTTTTTTTTTTGCACAGCAAAAGATAATTTATTAAGATGGAAGTACAAGAGATACTCCAATCCATGTCATTACACAAAATCAGATAAATAATAAGCCCAGTGTTTTTACTCCTATCTTTCAAACTACTCCATTCCTAGCCTCACTTCTTTCCATCAGTAAGACAAGCTTTAGGATTACATAGCCAATCTAAAAGATAAAAGTGCCAACCGGCTATTCTAAATTTAATCCAAGAAAAAGATCTCAATTGAACTAATTCCAACAACTTACCCATGTTTACTTCCTAAGCTTGAAATATCTTTCGATTCCGAGTTAGCCAAATAGACCAAATCACCATGTTCCAGATGCAATCCCATCCATTTTTAAGGCGTTTATCTTTGGTCCATGACCCAAGTTGGTCGAATGTTTTCCAACAATCATTCTCTAGCCTTATAGAGAGCCCCCACCATTTAGCACACTCATTCCAAATCCATTTAGTAATTTTACACCTCAAAAACAGATGAGCCGTATCTTCTTCTTCTTCCTTGCAAAGCCTACACTTACAACTTCCCATATCTTTCTCAACTCCTCTTTTCAACAAGTCCTTTTTGGTTGGGATTTTATCAAGCACAACTCGCTAATTGAATGCTACAATTTTGGTTGGGAGATTGTGATTCCATACTCTTTTGAAAATTTTTGGTTCCTTCTAGACTGCTGATAGCAGTGAGTATGCTGATGATGATGAATAAATGCCATCCTTGCTGTGAATCCACTCCTATTTGTTGATGTATCTTGGTCGTACATTCACCTCCTTCTTGGTTTGTTCTTGAACAGCCTTTTTTTCCCATTTGAATAGTATTCTTCTCCAAGTGAGATTCCATTTCCATGTTCCATTATGCTTGTTGCCCATTTGGTAGCCTTTTTTCTCCTTATCTGTTGATAACAAATATAATCTAGGAAACATGTTAGCAAGACACCTCTCCTCGCACCACTCGTCCCATCAAAAGCTCACATTTTTTCCCTCCCCTAGTTTTAGCCTAAATCCCTCCGATAACCACCTTGCATTGTCCCTCGTCGCATTGTTAATCACCTAAACATCTCTCCATCATAAAGAGCCCACATCTATACCATTTTTGACCCAGTTCAACCAATGAGCCCCTCCCACTCCATACTTTCCTTGAATCACTTTTTTCCATAACCCCTCTTCTTTTGTTACTAATCGACCCCACCATTTTCCCATTAACGCCAAGTTAAACTTCCTCAAATCCTTCACTCCCAACCCCCTATGCTCTTTATCCTTGCAAATCTTCACCCAATTTACCCAATTAATTTTTCTTTCATCCCTCTCCCCGTCCCATAAAAAACTTCTACAAATTTTATCAATAGAATTGAGTGTACCTTTTGGGATCAAGTAGACGGACATCAAGAACACGGGTAGACTTGACAACGCTGAATTAATGAGCATGATTCGACCTCCTAAAGAGAGATACCGTCCTTTCCAACTCGATAGTTTCTTTTTAATAGAATCCAACAATGGCTGCCACAATTTAAGCCTTCTATGGTTCCCCCCAATGGGAATCCCCAGGTATTTGATCGGGAATTCCCCTTCTTTACAACATAGTCTATAGGCCATTTTGCTTTTCCATTCATCCTCAACTCTGATACCCATTAGCTGGCATTTTTCAAAGTTGATTTTCAGTCTGGATGCCATTTCAAATATCCTCATAATGCATTTAATTGTCCTTATATTTTCCTCTGATGCCTCCCCAAAGAATACAGTGTCATCCGCGAATTACAAATGGGTAACTGTCATTGCTTCATTTCCGACTTCCACTCCCTTATAGAGCTTCTTCTCAACTACTGATGTCATCAATCCATTTAGTCCCTCAGCCACAATTAGGAATAAAAAGGGAGATAATGGATCACCTTGTCGGATGCCTTTAGTGACCGAGAATTTTCGTGTTGGACTTCCATTGACTAAGATTGAAACTATGCTGGACTCCAAACACTCTTGTATCCATCTCTTCCTGGTATCACAAAATCCCATTCTACTCAACATATAATCAATAAAATTCCAACACACCTTATTATATGCTTTCTCAAAATCAACTTTGAATAGAGAACTCTTCTTCTTCCTCTTCTTCGCCTCATCAATTACCTCATTAGCAATCACAACTCCATCCACTAGCTGTCTTCCCTTAATGAATGCCATCTGTTGTTCCCCAATAATCGTATCCAGCACTTTGCAAAGACGGTTTGCCAGTAGTTTTGCGACAACCTTATACATGACTCCTATGAGGGAGATGGGTCTATATTCTTCTATCCTTTGGGGATTCTCCGTTTTGGGATCAACACGATGAAGGAGCATTTGATCCTCTTACTAATCGACCTTGTTCATGGAATTCCTTTATGAATCCGACCACCTCAGGTTTAATGACATCCCGCATGGTCTTTATGAACCTGAAATTAAAGCCATCGGGACCTAGGGCTTTAGAAGAATCGCACTCCCATATGACTTTTTTGATTTCCTCTTCAAAAGAAGGTGTTGTGAGGAGCTCGTTATCTACTTGGGAAATTTGTTTGAAATAAATGCCATCCAGCTTGGGTCTCTGCCATTTATCTTCTGAGAAGAGCCTCTCGAAATAATCTGCCACCCCTTCTTTTATTTCTACGACTCCTATGTGTTGCTTTCCATTAATTTGAATGCTACTAATTTCATTTCTTCTCCTTTTTCCTTTTACACTTCTATGAAAGATTTGGTATTCGCATCCCCTTCTCTTAGCCACATTTTCCTTGATTTTTGTGGCCACATAGTCTCCTTAATTTTTAAGTTGTTCCATAGGTCAATAAAGCAACATCTCCTCCTTTCAATGTCTGTTGGAGTTAACTGGTCATTCTCGCCTTTTTTGTCCAGAGCCTCTATCTCTTTTTCTGCTTCAAGAATTTTCATGTCAACGTTTGCCATTGAGTTGCCACTCCACATTTTGAGAGCATTCTTAGTGCTTTTCAACTTTTCCTTCAGTTTGAATCCATTCCAGCCCTTCACTTCAGTGGAGTTCCAGACATTTCTAATCACCTTTATGCTCCTTAGTTGCTCGAGCAAGCATCAAAGAATTTGAAGGGTTTTGGCCCTCAATCAATCTTCTCATTCTTTAGTATAATAGGGCAATGATTTGACACTGTTCTTCTCAAACCCCATTGTTTTACATCACTTCATTTCGTAATCCATTCTTCTAATAACAAATACATATCAATCCTAATCATATGTTGCCCATTTGAGTTATACCAAGTATACTTCCTTCCAACCAATGGTAGATCTATCAATTCAATCACTGTTTCCATTTGTTGTTGGCTCATACTTTGTTTACCTTTTAGTGTTGTATTTGCATCCCCTCTAAGTCTATTACAATGTTGGCCCTTCACCACATTTGCATAGGTTCTATTTTGCATTTTTGGCTACGATATTTGTATCTTGCTCCACTCCTTCACCTTGTTCTGTGCATCATTCTCAAACCATGGAATATTCACCCATAGTTTGCAGTCCCCGACCCATATTTGATCAAGCCTCCTTTCCAGCTCCTTTATGTCCTTAACATCCAAAAATCTCACAAACCCGAATCTGCCTCCCTCCCTGCTTCTCCTGCTTGGGCTGTAGATGTCAGACACCCTTCCAAATTTTTGGAAGGTTCTCCACATCTCTGCATAACTCCACTCCTCCGAGAAGTTTGTAAAAAAATATGGCGTTGCTTGTTTATACAAGCCTTTTTCATATGTTTCCCTTGTATACGGCTTCTGATCCTACATTGGAGACTTCAACTTTCTTCTCTGATCCACTGATGAGTTCCTCCTATGTTGGTTTCTCCCTTGGAATCCCTCATGTTCACAACTCAGTGTTGCTTGTCCTGTCCGTGATTGACGCTTGCCTGCTCTCCCTCTTTCTCTACCTCTCTCACTCATCTCTCCCTTTTTTTTCACAAGTTAGATAAATTTAAAAAAAAAAATTGTTCTGACTACAGAAGGTCCCTCTTAACCTTTATTTATAGAAGAGGTTTGGCTCAAGCCCTTCTGCATGTGAGGGCTCTAGAACACTCCACAAAACTCATATTTACAATTCCAGAAGCTTCTCCACTCCTCCCTTCCTAACCTACCCTGCATTATTCACTACTAGAATATTGATCATTTTGGTTAGCGTTTTTTGGTCAAGCAATTTTCTTGATTGAAAAAACATGTATTTAGATCATTAAAATTGGTTGAATTAAAGCCTTGTCTAAAAAAAAAAAACACACACACACACACACACTATAATTCAAAGAAGTCAATCCCGTACCGTACCGGCCGATAGGCCGGTATGTATCGGTTTTGACACTTGACCGAAACGGTATAATGTTAAATTTTGTTTTGGTTAAAATCCAGTCGTTCCGGTCAAAATCCGGTTTACCGGCCAGTACACAAAATTATGGCCGGTACACAAAATTTCGGCCGGTACACTTCATGCCCCCCCAAAAAAAAAAAAAGATTTCCTATCCAAAACGACGTCGTTTTGGCCAACACTGCAATTTTGATCGCGCAAATCCTCCTCTGTTCTCGCGTCAGCTGTCTTATCTTCCATTTTTTCAGTTGCCGGCTACAATTCAAATCAATTCAAATTTCACAAAGGCAAATTTCATTTTTAGTCCTTAATTTTGATATTTTATATAATTTTCATCCTTAAGTTTTTTTATATACTTTTTTAATCCATTCTTCATATTTTTTTTAATCATTCTATTAATTACTTCATTAAGTTTTTTTAAATACACACATTTTTAATCTTTTAATTTAAAATAAATGGACAAAAAATATGTATATATTAAAAGTTAAGGGATTAAAAATTATTATTTTAAACTTATTTTTAATTTATAAAAATATAATAA